ATGGACATAGTGAAATAGGAAATAGTGCCTCTAAACAAGATTTTCCTTTCCTGGCAAATGAGTCCACAGAGAAGTGAATTGTCAGGGAATAAAGGGGTTTTTTACTTAGGCTTAGCCATGGTGGCATTATAATCCAGGACACTAGACCTAAGACTAAGTGGCCAGTGACACCGTGTTTGACAGGATTGATGGTTCTTTAGAAGGAAGATTGATCCTTCGTTAAATGAATGGACTGTCCCTTTGAAAAACTGGTTAGGCAAGTGGACAAGTGTGGTACACAGTAACCTGGAAGTCTGGGGGTTCTCCAAGATTTTTCCTCCCCCTCTTCCCAAGTCTAATTCATTGTCAAGTCCTGTGATTCCACTTTACAGAGATCTGTCACATCCGCATCCAAAGCTCTCCTCTAAATAGGTATTTGTTTTAATCATTCTTTCCCAGAATATGGCAGTAGCCCATTAACTGACGGTTCTGTCTCCTACTTGCCCTCTCCTGTGTACCTTCCACAGCACCTCTAGGAAAATCTTTCTAAAAAGATCAAATATAGTCATATCGTGATCCTTCAGTAGCTCCCTATTACCTGTGAGTAAAGTCTAGGCTCCTGCAAGATCCGAGCCCAGCTCCCTGCCCCAGCATGTCCCCTGCCCTGCTCGCTACCCTTCACTCTACTGACCTGCTTGGAGCTCCTCTCTCTTCCTTGCTTTGCCTCTGCCTGGAATATGCTTTTCCCTCTGTCCACTGAGTGAACCCCCCTTGGGAGGCCCAGACCAAATATCTTCTCCTCTGTCAAGTCTTCTCCCCATATCCATCCAGCAGAGTTGAATCTTCCCTTCTTAGCCAGCCCTGGAGCTTGTATAGCCTGGACCGCAGAACTTTGCGCACTGGGTTTCTGGGTCTAATGCCACTCTTGCTCCCAGGATGGTACTAAGCACATAGTAGGAGTCAAGTAAGTGTTTGTTGATTGACTGATTATAGGAGACAGAAATGGGAGGTTGAAGACTTAATTCCATGGACTCAAAGTGCTGGGAGAGTGGCATACCTTTACAAATGTAAACTCATGATAGGTTCTGGCTGCAATCTGGACAGGACAACTGGCCATGGAAGCCATCTCTTCTCCTTATTCCCCATTCCCTGCACTCTGGTCTTACCCATCTGAGAAACAGGATGGCCTGGCTGTGAAATGAACACTTGCTTCTGTGAACAATGTCCCCCAGCCCCACCCCTGCAGTTACTTGATAAACAAACCACCTATTTCTTTACACTTTTAGTAAATGTACCCACAGAAACCTTAAAAAGCCCCCTCTTCTCCACCTGGCTTACCTGACTTTGTGAGTCTCCAGTGCCAATTCTTTTTCTGTGGACCCTTCACCATTACTAAGTCATTGATGACTTCATCCAACTCAGCCTAGGTTTTCTGAAGTCAAATGCTATGTTCTTCCTGATATACCACCTTCGCTGGTGTGTTTCTCTTACGCCACTGCCTCACGCTCGAGCTAAGCAGCAGTAGTCTTCAGTCAGTTACTTTCTTCACTCATTGATTCATTCTTTCATCAAACTGGTAGATGATGAGATACGTCATTCTACCCAAATGGACCTCAGTCTAGTGGGAAAAACGTACTTGTAACTGAGTGATTATAAGATATAGAGATTGCCATGGAAGAACAATGGAGGGCCAAATGAGGAGTCAAGGAAGCCTTCTAAGAGGAGGTGACATTTGAGCTTAGTCTTGAAATGTAAATGGGTGTCCTCAAGGAAGAGAAGAGCATTCTAGGCAGAGGAAACAGCAGAAGTAAAGGCCTGAAAAAGCATGGCAGGTCTGAGAAATTGAGGAGTGTTGTGGCTCAAGCCACTGGATGCTTAAAGGCTCGGAGAAGCAGACCCCTCTCTCAGAGGGATTTTCTTCTGAGATGAGACTTGGTAGGAAATGCAAGTCCTCCCTGCAGTTGCTGAGGTCCCCTCTGCCCCACAGGTGCTCCCATGGCTGGGTGAGGTTCCCAGGGCTGTCACCACTCCCACCCACTCCCACTGTCCTCGGCGGGTGGCATCCCAGAAGGAAAGAGGCAGGGGAGGAAGCAGATAAGAAAGACAGCTTCTGTTTAGACACAAATATCTTGGTAATCAGCACAGATGGGATGAGAAATACCAAAAAAAGTACATGACAGTTTAGAGAGAATTTGGCTAAATGTTACATATTTTTAACATACCTGTGTCGAGCTTTTGGAACAAGCACCTGAATCCCTCAGAACCTGATTGGACCTGGGGGTTATGCCTCAACCAAGTGGTGTTTTTATTTCAGAAATGTTCCCTTCCCCATCCTCAAAAGTATCCTTGTGATTTTTTTTTTCTCCCACCAAAATAAGGTGCAGGATTTGTCTCTGACGCTGTGTCTCCCTATTTGGACGGCAAGCTGTGTAACATATTTCTACCCAGCGTGAAGCTTCTTGGCAGACTCTTGAGGCCACGTTTTGGTGGCTTCAGAGTTATCTTTGGATCTGTCAAAAGTGCTAATGGGCTTTCTGGCCTTCTTTAAGCTCCTCATTTCTATTTTCTTTTTACTTCCATCCTCTCCTAAAAGAAAAATTCATGTAATTCATCAGCAGTTAAGCATTTTACTGAAATGCTCAGCTGAGGGCCTTGTATTTTTGTTTGCGAGAATAGCTCTGCCATGTCACTGTCTTCAGAACAAACCCCACCCTGACATCATTAGCTCAGCACTCCTCAGTCCACCGGCAAGAGAGATACTTGTTGATGAATTCAGACTGCCTTTTTTGTTTGTTTTGTTTTTTGAGTTTGTCAAGAGGCAAGTTGGTGTGGTGGGTAGAGCAAGAGTTTTAAAGTCAGGAGACCTGGTTTTGAAAGTTGGCCCTTTCTAGCTGGGTGACTTTTGGAAGACCACTTAACCTTCCTGAGCCTCAGTTTTCCCATCTATAAAATGGAGATGATAATGCCTTTCTCATGGTTGTTGAGATTAGAGAGAACACAAGCCAAATAACTATTGTCTGGCACATAAGGATTGCTCAATAAAAGGGATAACAATAATTTTTAACGGAAATGTGATTGGTGTTTTTTTGGTGAGGAAGATTGGCCCTGAGCTAATATCTGTTGCCAGTCTTGCTCTTTTGGAAAGATCATCCCTGAGCTAACATCTATGCCAATCCTCCTCTATTTTGTATGTGGGATGCCGTCACAGCATGGCTTGATGAGCACTGTGCAGGCCCACGCCCAGAATCCAAAATCATGAACCCTAGGCTGCCAAAGTGGAGCGTGCAAACTCAACCACTATGCCACTGGGCCGGCCCCTTAACAGAAATGTTTTTTCTCTTTCTTTGAGCATACTTTGATCCTGCTTTGTTCCTATGCTATGCTTTCTTTTTAACAAACAAAACTTTTACCTACTATTTTTAGTGGTATTAAAAAAAAAAGCACAGGTTTAGAGATAAACCCACCCAAGACTGAATAATGCCTTATCCACTTACTGTACAATCTTGGGCAAATTACTTCACTTTCTCTGTGCCTGCCTTCTTATCTGTATATAGAGATAATAATACCTGTTCAAGGAGTGGTTACAAGATTAAGTAAAATAATATTTGTAAAACTTTGTGTATTGTAGATATTTAAAAGTATTTAAGAGGGACAGTGTAATGTAAGGGAAAGTGTATGGGCTATGGAGTTGGATCTGAGTCCAAAATCTGACTCTACCAGTTACTGAATCTCTCCCAGACATACTTTATCTGTATATTGGAAAGACTAATACCTCACTGGATTTTTGTGAAGATTGCATAAGATCATGCGTAGAAAAGTACCTGGTACAGTGCCTAGTACTTGGTAGGTAGTCAGTATATGGAGCTATTAATTCACTATTTATAAAGGTCAATAGTTAACCTGGTACTCCAATCAAACAATAATAAATCATAAGATAAGTGCCCATTCTTATTCCCAACCCGTAATATTGTTGAAAAGCACTTTATGCTATTTTGCATGTAAAATCCACCTGGTATACTTGGATTTATGGGTTACAGATCTTTCATCATTATAAACTGCAACCCCTAGCAATAACGTTCCTTCCCTCCCCAGCTCCCTTCATTTTCAGAAGATTATATTGTGTGGCATTGAAAACCTGTAACATTGAAGAAATTAGCATATTCATGTGTATTATTAAATTCAGGTGGGTATAGAAAGGGTTGCAGAAATGAAACACATTACATTTTTTCTGAAATCTGAAGAGTACCAATCTATAGTACTAATTAAAGGAATGGAGCCCAGGCTACAGACAAAAGCTAGTTAAAACACTGCTTTGTCACAACTTGCTGCTGCTTGTCTTTGATTTTTTTTTTCTTTTTGAGTGAAATACCTGGAAATTGTAAATCTTCAAAATTGCTTTAATTCCAGCTGAGCCATTATAGAGAATGTCAACTGTGGAGGAGGGGGACACCAGCAGTGATGACAGGAGAGGAGCATGCCCGGCCTTTCGGGTGGGATCTATTGGACAGAACCAGGCTCTGTGCCAGGAGCATTTTGGTCCCTGGGTACCTTCTTTTGCTTAGATGTATGGCACAGTGCATTGGGCAAGTTCTAGGAGCTGGGGTCAGAAGATCTGAGATGCAGTCCTGTCTTCATCGCTCATCAGACTTTTTGATCTTGGCATTTCTCTCTGAGCCTTGGTTTCCTCATTTGTAAGATTGCAGACTTCTTTCCTGTCCTGCTCACCTTTCAGAACTGATTTGAAAAGCAGTGCAGCGCTATATATGACCTCATGTTGTAAACTGTAATCACCACACAGAGGTGTAATTGCTCAGACTACTTCATCTCGAAGGGCTCTTCCAACTTAACATTTCATGATTTTATACATGACTGAGGTTTGCTCTCACAGGTAGGAAGAATAGGACAGGGGAAGAGGAAAGTATACTTCCTGAGTATTTTCTGTTTCTTTTGCTTTTATTAGATGCTGCTTGTAATAAGAACAAACAAAATAAGTCACAAACCTTCCCTTCTTTCTCCTAGAGAAATCTGACAGAATATTTTGTGGCTGTGGATGTAAACAACATGTTACATCTGTACGCCAGTATGCTCTACGAACGCCGGATACTCATCATTTGCAGCAAACTCAGCACTGTGAGTAGACAGTCTTGAGATGAGTCTTTTAATTATTTTATTTTAATTGAAAGATGCATCAGAAAGATTAAAGAAAACTTTAGAAAAAGAGATCAGCCACAGTCCCCTCTGATAGTAACATGTCATTTTCATTAATTATTCATGTTCCTTTACAGTACTGCTGCACGTTTCATTTATTCTTATAGTTTCACAATCAATTATAGTTTTCCATTTGATTGTATGTTATGAACACTTTGTATATTTCCACATAAGCTTCCATCATTGTCATTTTTTACATCTATATCATGTTCTATTATACTAATGTGTCATTATTTACTAAATCTTTCTTCTCTTGATGGCCGTTTACGTTGTTCATAGTTTAATCCTTTAGTAGATAACACTGCAGTGAACATCTTTTGGCTGCTTTTGATGAAAGAGTTCATTTTCTAAGGAGTGGGGCCACCAGGTCAAATGACTTGATAAGCACTTGATAAGTGACCTATGAACTGCCAGATTGCTTCCTAGACGTGGTGTGCTTGTTTATAGTGAATGCTGCCAGCTGTATGTGAGTGTACCATTTCACTGCAGCCTTGCCAGAGTTGTGTATGTGTTCTTTATATGTTTTAATTTTGCTAATAAAAAAGGCATAAAATGCTATTGCAGGTTTGCTTTATTTTTAATTTCTTTTATTAGAACTGAATATTTTCCATAGACTTATTTCCTATTTGTATTTTGGTAATGTCTTTTCCCGTTTATTGTATATGGCTCTTGGTTTTGTTTTGTGTCTTTTATAAATTGGAATGAGTTCTTTTTATATTGTAATAACTTCTGCTATATATATAACTATTTTTCATATTGCTTTTATTTTAACTTTTTAAACTTGGTAAGTATAGGAGTTTATATTTTTCCCAATATTCTATTATGAAAATTCTCAAACATAGAAAGTTGAAATCATTTTACAGTGAACACCCATATAATTCTACCTGGATTCTGCCATTAGCATTTTATTATGCTTGCTTTGGCACATATTTATTCATCTATCCATCCCTTATACCATCCATCAATCCATCTTATTTTTTGATGCATTTCAAAGTAAATCACAGACATCAGTATACATCCTCCTAAATAATTGAGTAAGTATATTATTAACAAAAGTTCGATATCTGCTTACAGTAATTTTTTTTTCTTTTGAGCTGAAACTTACGTATAGAAATTAACTAGGAGTAGAATGCCTAAGAGGTACCTCTGTGTTAGAAGGGTAAAAGAGCTTCTTAGAGTGGGAATATCTGTAGCGAAGGGCCTATGGATAAAATCAGTTGTGTGTTTACCTATGAATACAAGGCACCTAATAATGAAAACTTAGGCTATTAGAGTTTTCTTTATAGTTTTCAGCAGAACTTCATTATTTTATTTCTTTGGCATTTTTTGCTTGTGAAAAACTAATGATTTTTGGATTGCCTGCTATGTGCTAGGCTCATATCACATAGTAGATGATGAAAGCATGGCCCTTGTCCTCAAGGGAAAAAACAGTAGATCCCTTGCTTTGTTTTGCTTTTTATTTAAATTAGAAGTGCAGTTCATAATCTCAGGGCCTGAAAACCCAGACTATGTTTCAGATTGACAGTGTTGCCAGCCAGATTTAACATTGTGTCTTTATGAGGCTGAGTAGAATAAGAGTACATTTGAGAGTCTAGTCCATAACCAGTTACTGCTGCTTTGGAGTATTGAACTTCAGTAGAACAAAAACAGGACATCATATTAGTGGGAGTGAAGTCCCTATGGTGTAATTATAATATTTTTGAGCCCTTAATATGTGTCAGACACTGCCAAGCACTTTGCGTCTATTAACTCATTTAATCCTCACAACAACTGTTTGTAGTAGGTTCTGTTATTTCCTCCATCTTATAGAAAAGGAAGAATATACCTTCTGTGTGATTTTGTTTAGATAAATGTTGTATATTAAACACACAGTTATTTCTGCTCCTTCCCCAAACTAAAATGAAATAAAGTAATAAAGCAATAAGCACAAAGAGCATATGCAGCAGAAATTTTAAAAATAGGAAGAAAATGCTGCTATCAATGTTATACCAATATTTGAAAACTAAGGTGAAATGGGCAGAAAAATATAATTTGCCAAAATTGAATCAAGAAGAAATAGAAAAATTGGATAGATCATTTAATTTATAGAAATTGAATTGATATGTAAAATTTTTTTTCCCAAAACGCTCAGCCCAGATGGTTTTACAGGTGTGTTTTATCAAACATCTCAAGGAACAGATAATTTCAGTCTTAGACAAACACCTTAAGGGTCTAGAAAAAAAGAGAAAAAACATTCCAGCTTGTCTTGTGACGCTTATGTAACCTTGACATTCAGCCACACAAGGAGACACTACAAGAAAGAAAATTTATCAGCCAATCTCAGTCATTAACATAGCTGTAAAAGTCACAAAAAAATAGTAGCAATGCATAAAATCTAATTCATAATAACTGAGTTGGGTTTATTCCAGAAATGTAAGGTTGATAATACTATAAAATCTATTAATATAATAATTAATAACTTAATCACATTAACATGTTAAAGGAAAAACTCATATTACCATCAATAGATGGAGAAAAAGAATGACCATGTTCATTAAAGGAAGACCAAACATTGAAGATGTCATTTCACTCCAAAGTAATCGATAGATCACATACAATTCCATTCAAAATCCTTAGGATTTTGCATAGTATTTGGCAAACTGATTCTAAAATTAATACAGAAAAGCCAGAGGAAGAGCCAAGACATCCTTGAGAAAAAGAATGGGTTGTGGAAGCTAGCTTTACCAGATATCAAAACTTTTTATAGAGCTATAATAATTAAGACACTAATAAGAGTAGAGGAATACACAAATAGACCAACAGAACAGAATAGAGATTGCAGGAACAGAACACATGTGTACATATGAGCCCTTCATATACAACAGAGGTGGCATTGTAGAATCTGGGGGAACGGATGGACTTTTCAATAACTGATTATCCACATGGGGAAGAAAGGGAAGACAATTTCTCTTAACACCATATGCAAAACAATGCCAAATGGATCAAGGACTTAAATGTGAAAGGCAAAATTTTAAAACTTTTAGAAGACAAAATAGAATAATCTTTCTGATCTTGGGGTAGAGAAAGATTTAATTAAATAATCCAAAATATACATTGTATAAAGGAAGAGATTAAAATCGTGAACTTTTGGTCATTAAAACATACTATTCAGAGAATGAAAAGACAAGTCACATGCTAGAATGGGCTATTTGCCATATGAAAGAGTGACAGAGGATTAATAACTGAAATATATAAAGAAGTACTTCAGTTAAAAAGCAAAAGACAAATCTATCGATAGAAAGATTGGTGAAAAGCACAAATAGGCTTTTCAAGGAAGAAACACAAATGGCTAAAAAATATGTGGAAAGACGCTCAACCACATTAGTAATCATAGAAAAGCAAATTAAAACACTATGTTCGCAAAAATCAGATGTTTGATAAAGCCAAGTGTTGGAAATGTATTAGAGAACTTCTCTCTGAAAAGTATGTGGCTCAAAACTATTTGTATATGCCCAACACTCAGCAGTTCCACTCCTGGCTGGAATTGTGTGTGTATGTGTTACCTACACACACTGCTTGGTCCTGTATGGTGGGATACATGTTCAAGCATGTTCATAGCAGCATTATTTTTTTTGTTGTTAAACCTGCAAAGAGCCCACTTAACCATCAACAGAGAACTGATAAATTGTGGCCTAGTCATACAATGGAACACTGTGTCAGTGAAAATGAACTATGCTATCAACATAATTGGGTTTCTGATACAGAATTCTAAGTAAAAGAAAGAAGGTGCAGAAGAATATACAGTATGATTTCATTCATATAAAATTCAGGTAAGAAAAACTATATGGTATATCATTTAGGGATACATACAGGCTATAAGGGGGAAAAAAATGAAATGATTAACACCAAATTTAGGTAGTAGTTTCCCAAAGGGAGTGAAGAGTATAGTTGGGAAGAGGCATATGGGGGATATCAAAAGTATTGTTTTCAGTCTTGAGCTAGGTTAGGGATCAGCATATTTTTCTGTAAAGGATCCGAAAAAAATGTGGCTTTATAGGCCATGGTCTTTGTTGCAACTACTGGACTCTGACCTTGTAGTTTACAGTCAGTAAACTAGTAGGTGTGGCTGTGTTCCAACAAAGCTTTATTTACAAAAATAGGAAGCAGGCCAAACTTGGCCTTCAGGCTGTCGTTTGCCAACCACTGAGTTAGGTGCTGGGTTTTGGAGTCTTAAGGTTTTTTTCCTTTAAAAGTTGCTTATGTGATATGCATACTTTTATATGTATGTGTATATGTATATATTTCAGAATTTTTGGAAAGTTTAAAAAGAAGATACCAAGCGCCTTTATCATGAACTTTTACAATACAAGGATAGAGACAAACTAGTCTTTGTACAAAGGTTAAGAATCAAAATTGCATGAGATTTTGCAGTCGCAGTTCTAGAAACCAGAAGACAGTGAAACCACGTCTTGAACCTCTAAGGGAAAATTATTTCTAACCTGGAATTCTATACTTATCTAATGGAAGCTCTCAGAAGAGATGGTACAAGCTCCGGCCACACTGATCAGCCTCCTGAGGTCTCTGCTCCTCCACTCTGCCTTCTCCATGTGGGTGAAGTGTCTGGCCTCTCTCGGGCCAACCTCTCCTCTTGTCCACCTGACTTCATTCGACAAATATTTTTCATGGCACTGTTGTAGACCCTGGGGATACAACAGTGAACAAATAGGCAAAAATCCCTGTCCTCAGGAAGCTTACATGCTAGTAGGGTAGACCTTTAGTAAATATATAGTACTGTGGCTAATGAGAAGTACTAAGGAGTAAAATAAGGAGAGCAGATGGGGAGTGTTGAGGTGGCAGGGACTGCAATTTTAAGCAGATGGCCAAGGAATGTCTTATGGAGAAGGTGACACTTCAGTTTCCTTCTTACCACCTTAAGGAAATTC